TCGTTATCCACCATAACGGACGGTATGGGGGACAACTGACTTTCTACACCTATTCGGCTATGCACCGCGTGGAATGGAAGCAAAAGCTCGAAGAAGCAATCGGGCTACGCAAGGTGGTGCAAGAAACTAATAAAGTCTTCGAGATAGAGACTTTGAGCACACATACTTTCACTGTTCCTCCAACTGGTTACACGTTAAATCCATCAACATGGAATGAAAGTCATATTACTGGAAAAGTCACTTGTTCCATACCCTTTAGTGCGGTTCCGCGAGCTTATTCCTTTGCTTGAACTGACTGCTCGCTCTAGATACTCCGGATGGACGACGTTTGGTGGCCATTGGATGTTCAGAGGGTATTTGGATTGGGTTTCGTCGAGATTCAAATTGTGAGCTTGAGAAAAGACTGATACAGCCAGCCGTGTCACTGACACTTGTTAAAGCCATGCGCCGTGTTCTCCATCTGAAGTCCGTGACACAATGTACAATGCTCGATGACTTCGGCCTTTTCCTTGTGTTGGCAGATAAGGTTAGCAACCACTCCCCTTTCCTGCTCAACCGCTTATGTTTTAACAATCCAGCAATTATTTGCATACCACATCGAAGCTCTTGTACCTCCTCCACAACCTAATTCCATGTCTATCTCAAGTCCTTCTCAGACACCTCAGAAGCTCAGCGGAAACAAGGAAGTTCAGTTTTTCAGCGTTGGGAAAACTACTGATCGTACAGTGGTCATTTACATGAGAAAAAGAGGAGTAAGCTTTCACTTCCTAGATTTGACTTCTGTCTCCTGATTTCAAAAACTCTGCAGTCTGATAGCCATTTCCACGTCCTGGAACCCGTCCTAGACAGAATCCATGGAAATCCCAGAGCGGCAACAAGTCGATTTTTTCCTAGACCGCCAAGACAGGATTGGTTTAAACACCATAAGGAGTTCTTCCTGTCCTGTGACACGTATGACTTGATTTTTATGACGTCGTCGATAGCCATCCTAAGCAGGAACGGCTTCGAAATCATGGATCTCAAAGGGTATGTAGTCATGCTGCATCTGGAGTCACTTTTCTTATCACCTCCTCAGTTCATCAAGCACCGTAATACCTTTGAAGGACAATCGGTTGACGCCACTCCTGCAACGTCATGAGACATGTCGACCGATTGGCATTTTTCGAACTCCTGACGACGGTTTCCTTCTTTGCTATTCTCGTGAGTTGACATGAATTTGCACTTTCTAGTGGCTGATGTCTCTTTAGGATTTGGTGTTTATGTGAATAAAAAGGGTATCCCCAGTCGCAGTGAATGTATTGTCGAATGGGAAGGTAATGCAGAGTCGGTCGCATTTCACGCGCCATACGTGATGCTTTTCGACCCCCGCTTCATTGAGATAAGACATGTCGAGACAGGCCGATTATCACAGATCGTAATGGGCCAAGACGTCCGGTGTGTCTGGGATGGGCGCGGGCACAGTTCAAACGCTGCCGCTATGGCAGGTACCTCGTCGGAAGATGAGATGGTGCAGGAGGCTCATGTCCATGCTGTCCTGAACCATCCAGAACCTGCACCTCAACCTCCTGGCCGACCATTACGACCTATCTACCAACACATCTTTGAGCTGATACCCACCATACCGCTGTATCTCCCTGGGTCATTGTCTTCGCCGTCCACTGCGACTTACTTTCCTCCATTGGAATCTTTTTCACCTCCACGATCACCTCAGGGCTGACCTTCCACCTCTTATATACCATGACCTCTTGCTCTCTTGTTTGCTCTCTTGTTTTTTCTAACATCGTTACTAATTAAGCTATTGTATCATACACACGTTAATAACCATTTAAACCTGGACGTACTTTCTTTCATGAACAACGAAATGCCAGATTGAACGAAATGCATCGACCTCAATGTATATGTAACTTTGACATCAGGAAACCCTTGAATTGCAAAGTGGCATAAATCATGATCGGCATGCCTATCAAGATGCTGCACAAAAAGGCCTAGTGCTCACAACTCTCAATAGACATTTGACGGTTCGAAGATCGAGTGGCACGATAGAAGATACTGAGAACTATCCATGCATGAACGTCACTCAACAGGTCTTGAATTAATTATATCAGCGCTAACACATCAGGCCGGGGTCATGGAGAGGGAATGACACAGACAAAACAAGGAAAAGAGGCAAAAGAAATTTAAGCCCAAGACCAAGACCAAACCCAATCCCACCGCACAGATGGAAACACCGGTCTCCCTCCTCATGTAGGTGAAACTATGCCATACGAGATCCAGTAAAGGTGGAATTTTGGGAGCTACCAGAAGACTACTTTGACATGTTGATGCAGTTACATTAAACCCTGGTTTCCTGAATACGGAGTAACTAATGTGGATCTAGGAGTGTACTGATTTCTCGATGTACTGTGTCCGTCGTATTCTGGGAGAAGGTAGCGCGGACAACATTTCGACCCAACCCGCTTATCAATACTTGATTTGTCTACTGTCTCAATTGACAACCGGTCTTTTGGGAAGCAAGAACGTCAATCGAAGACCAATCATACTTATACCAAGCAGGATCAGGAAGACCATGTTCCCGCCAGCAAGATGTCTCTGGAGAGAGATGGAGAATAGAGAGGATGCCACAGTAGGCGCAATTGCTCGCGTGATACAACCCACAGCTTGTGCCATACCATTGATGGCTCCAAGGGAGGCCCGGTTTGGGGTACTATCAAGAAGTAACACGAATACTGACGCTACAAGACCATTGATCCATGTCATTGATACCTTTTTAGCAGAGTAACCGGATCACGTACCATATGATGCGCTGAAAGATAGCGCAAAAGTCAGCTGAACTACGATGACTGCCCAAACTAATGCATCTGCGCCACCAGCTCTCCGCACAAGGAGACTCAAAAGAGGATACAGAACAAGCGTAGCGGCGTAGCTGAAATGAGTGAAGATCTGGATTTTGCGCGCGCCGAATTTTCTGAGGAGCATTGGGAGGCAGACGAGCGTGAAAATGGCGTTGATGACTCCCCAAGTTCCCATAATTGTACCAATGCGGTACGGATCGAAGCCGAGGCCGCCCAAAGGAATCGAGGTGGAATACACAAGGGGTTGAAGGACTTGAAGACCCATGTCGGTGAATGTCATGAAGCCGTAAATGAGGAGAGTCAGCTGTACTGGAGGAGTGAGGAGGGACAGAAGCGGCGGTGGAGTGAGGTTCCTAAGGTCGTATTCTGGTTCCGCAGATTTCACGGTGGATGTGCAGGTGGCAGAGTACAGAGGATCGTTATGTCCAGATAGCAGGCTGGTCGTACAATTGACTGTCGCGCATTGTTCCGCCGCTTCTTTTCTTTTCTTCTCCCGGATAACGGCTGAAGGTAACGTCTATATAACAACTCAGCAAACTTATTTTGTACGATTTTGATGAAAAACCTGCCTCTTTGAGTCCCATAAATCCGAAAACTGCAGTAATCAAGGCAATGAATGCCGCTACAGCACATGGAAGGAAATACGGAAAGTGACGGAAGAGGACAAGTTTTTCAAACACGTCTGGCCATCTCTTCCCAGGCTGTGCGAGTAATCCACCAATGATCGGTCTATGGAATGCACAGGTAATTGTTAGAATGTCGGAAGAAACAAAAAAAAACATACCCAAGGGCGGAACCAAAAGTCCACATGACTGGTATTAAAGCAAAAGCGTCTGTAACGTTCGTCGAGTCCGTGATCTAGGGAACGGCAGCACGTCAGAAGGACCACATATCAAGTTGTGCACGAAGCACCTCTGCCATAACGCTCTTAGAAACGCCTAATTCTTAAATTAGAGAACAAATCTATGTTGCGGTGTATAGTCAACTCACCAATATTTCCATTGAAAGCACCTTGCATGCACCTACATATGATCAAACTCCAATAATTCGTCGACAAGCCAAAGCCCAGCATAGACAACGCCAGTCCGACGGGTCCGATCAACAGGACTGGCCGACGCCCGAAGTAATCAGACGCGCGACCCCAGTACACGACCGTTAGTGCCTCCGCAACGAAGAACGTGGATTGCTGTCACAATTTCGGGTTTAAGGTCAGGTCAGTGAGGGTCGCAGATTTACGACTAACAATGATGCCTGCATAGTACCCGGTCTTCCGCTCGTCGCCCTGTATGACGCCGGTGTCGCGTACGAATTGATTGATAAATGGGTATATGACAGTCGCGGTGATGGGTTCCGCGAACTGGATCATCGCCACTATGAATAACTGGAATTTTGGCAGAGGAGTGGGTTTGAGCAGTGTCGATGCTGATGTTGGGGGTTCGTGAGATTCATTGTTATCATCGCGGATCTCTGAGAGACCGTTGGTCGTATTTTGGGCTTCAAGGGCAGTCATCAAGGATAAGGGCGGCGACGGGGGGTTGTAATAGGCCTAGGATGCAGCTTGGAAACGCGAGACAGACAGATTTGGCTATGTACGACGGTGGATGAGGCAGATTAGGGGGAGGGGTATTAGCCTTTCGAAAGGCAAGAACAGGACATACTCACGCACCGCGCGGAGCTGACCCGACAGGGAGCCAAAGGCAAAAGAGACTCGGGAGGAACACCAACAAAAGATAGGGATGTATCTGAGAACGGAGTGTTTTTTTATGCCGGACCATTATTTTCCCGAGGACGTCCATATGGTATATGTATATGGATGTACCGAAAATTTACATGCGCCAAGATGCTATTCTCTATTTGCAGCCTGCAGGTAGAGGGGAACGAATGTTGAACGTTCGAACAACTGGCTGGAAATAGCATTCACTGGTCAACAGAGGAGTGGGGGAGAGGAATGGCTGATTTGTCTCCCAACCATCAATGCATCAACGATCACGGATCATGACGATGCGTCGGACTCGGAAGGCCGCTAAGTAGCACAAGAGAGTACAGGAGCCAAACGGCCTGAATGTACGACGAGTGGTTGGCAATGGCGACTAAGAGAAAGAAAGAGAGACGACTGGCCTATCTGGATCGAAAAAGATACACGAACTCGGGCCTGACCGGGAATTGAACCCGGGACCTCCTCGATATGACAAGTGAACAACTGAGTTCAGCCCTAACAAGGAATCATACTACTAGACCATCAGGCCTGTGGTCTGTGCGTCGTGTACTAGTGTCCTACCTGTATGGGCCTGGCAGGCACTGAACCTATGTAACATAGTTGGGAATAAAATCATTCATTCAGTCCCTTCATGTATCTAGATTTGTGAGCCATGGAGACTCTCTATAGCATAGTGACCCTGTCCATATACAGGGAGTGACTGCAGCCTGTATGGGCTTCAGCTCATGCACCCATCTCAATATTGAATATTTTCCTATCTTGGTTAACATAGTGTACAAAATCTCAAGTGTGGTCTGATTGAACTATGCATGATGATAAGATGCATTGAATTTAAGCTTGTTATTTAGCATCAAACACATGGAACTTATAGGATCAAACTGGATTGCCTGACGACAGATAGATACTGCCTCAGTAAGATGGCTAGGGACACAAAAATGGTGCAAGACACATGGCAGAACTTTCTGCCTAAAGGAGTAGACTCACTCAAGATGTGGAGAATAGCAACTGAGGTTTTAGTGGGTATTGGCTGAGCCAAGTCCCACACTGAGTGCATAAAAGCATTTCCTACAGAGTGGCTCCATCTTGAACCGGCTAAAGTGATACAAGTATACACATGACAAACTATCCCAGGGCATGGAGGTTGACTTTGTGAATTGTCCATGACCCTACAGCGAAAAGACACAGACTCTACCATGTCCTTATGTCCTTTCAGCTCCTTCACTAGTTCTCCAGTTGTAACATTCCAAATGCAAACCAGATAGTTCTGATTTCCTGACACTATGTATAAGTCATCTGGAGAGAATTTGACTGATTGTATCCAGCCTTGATGCCCTTTGAGCTCCTTGATCTGTTTTCCAGCTGACACATCCCAAATGCACACAGATTGATCGAAGCTTCCTGACACTACATACATGCTGTTTGGAGAAAATGATACAGAAGTTATAATATCTTTATTGGAAGCGGTCAACGACGATGCGGACTAAGATGTACACACCACAGAACAAGACCTGGTTATATTTGAGATAACGAGAGAGAGAGAGTAAAGAGCAAGAAAGCGAGAGCGTAGTATGTATGTACAGAGGGATAAAGAAGAATCCCCGTAAGTAAAGGGTGTGGCTAGTATATATACCTCTGCCTGATTAGGAAATGGCTCATGAAGTAAGTGTACAGATCATGATGTCACCATCATGATTACACCCCTCCCCACCCAAAAAAATAAAAGAGCTGGTAAGAAAAAAGAAACGAAAAGGAGAGATGTTAGTACATAAAAAAAAATGCACATCCGGGTGCATCAAAAACCTAGTGGGAAAAGCTACCAGCGGCAGGAAAAAGAAGAGAGAAGACTAAACTACCCCTCCTCCATGTCCTGCCAACCATACATCGAGGGCTTCATTCTTGCTAAGTTCCTTCCTGGATTGCCACTCATCATGTTCAGGCCCATAACCTCTAAAACATACAAGATATTGCCAACCGCATCCCTTCCTCCATGCGTCAACAATTTTATCCACATAATGCTCCTCCAAACCTGTGTCCGGCGCTAGGACCAGACCTGGCTGTTTGAACTCATGGGATGGGAACAATTCACCATCGTTGTCTACATGCCATCGCAACTTAGATGTATGGAACTTTGCGTAGGAGTCAGCATGATTCGGACAAAAAACCGTCACGTTCAAAGAATCCACGTGAACCTCAGTGATTTTGAAAGGCCTGTCATATTGTGGCATCAGCTTGGCCACCTGCTTTAATCCCTTCTTCTTATACTGGCGACAAGTGTCCCTAGTTGAAACAAAAACAGAGTCACCCACTTTCCAAACCAAGTCATCCAAACATGTCTTGTTAGACTGAGCCGCCATCTGAATCTTCGCTTGAGACAAATCATCCTGAGCCGTCATCGTATACAATTGTAGACATTCAATAACCTTGCTTGCATTGACTTCCTCCACACTCGCTTGTGTGGACAACGGGACCAGAGGAGGTATCAACTGCAGTGCCCTCCCAAAACGCAAGTGAAATGGCGAGAACCCCATAGACTTATTTACCGTGCTCATAATATCAAAACAAATCTGAGAAAGCGCCCGTACCCACCCTTTCTGGTTATGGTCGACATGAAAGTGTAGTGCCTGCACAACCATCTTGTTAGATCGCTCACTCACCCCATCTGTTTCTGAGTGATAAGCTGAGGACATTTTAATCTTAATACCCAAGAGCTTCGTCAAATGTTTCCAGAAACGAGAGACAAATAGCTTATCTCTGTTACAGACAATATCCGAAGGCAGCCTGTTTTCACAGAACCAGTGCTCGAAAAAAAGCTCAGCCAACTGAGGCACAGACAAATCCGTCCTCGTAGACACAATCTGAATGTCAGAATGTAAACGGTCCATCATGGTCATGATGCAATTAAATCCGTTGTCTTCAGGCAAGGGACCCACAAAGTCAATTGCTACAGATTCCCCCCTGCCATCTGGGACTGGTAGCAGGTGCAAGGGACCCATCGGGCGCGACGTCGAAGATTTAAAACACTGACAATCCTGGCATGCGGGGACATAACCATTTTCCAGATCTTGGCGCATTCTTGGCCAATAGTACGACCAGCGCAAAGCCTCATAGGCCTTATCAAAGCCAAAATGTCCCAGCGCGTCATGCGCCAGCCAAAACAACATCTCATGGACATTTCCAACTCTGGAGATCAGCATCCGAGAACCCAAGAACCACAAACCATCACGACATTCCAAGGAAGCCATCCCACGTGAAGCCTCCACGAGGTTCTTACACCACGTATCCTCCGCATAATCCTTTCTAATTGTTTCCAGCAACTTTTCATCAATAACAACTGGTTCTGGTGAGACAAGGCCAGGCTGTACAACATCAACATCCCCTTCAGCAAAGAACATGGCAGCCATAAAAGGCGTGTCACCCTTAATCAAAAACACTGAATCAATACACGCACTCACAAGGTCATTGTCATGCATAAGCTTTGCCACTTCTGGAGCAAGCTCCATGGCATCCGAAGAGGATCGAGCCTCAACAGGCAATCGCGACAATGCGTCTGCCACTGTATTATCGTTGCCCTTAACATAAACAAATTTACAATCAAACTGAGATAGAAACTCCATCCACTGAGCCTGTCGCCGTGATAATTCGCGCTGGTTCTGAAAGTTCAACAAAGTCTTATGATCTGTAAAAACCATGAAAGGCATGCCAAAAAGGTCAGCTCGCCACTTCTTCAATGTGCGAATGATCGCTAGCAACTCTTTTTTGTGAACTGGATAATTTAATTCAGCACCCTTGAATGTCTGACTTTCAAATGCAACTGGACGTGCTGATTCCCAGGTTTCCCCAAAGGAGAGCACAGCGCCTGAACAGAAGTCACTGGCATCTGTAGTTACAAATATTGTTTTAGAAGAATCATTATGATCAATTGTGGTTAAGCAGTCCCGCCCAACAACCAGTTCCTTTATGGCATCAAACGCAAGTTGATGAGCCTGTTTCCACTCAGGAGATGCAACATCACACTCCTGCATCGTCAAACGATGCAAAATACCCGTGTGTTCTGCTAGTCACGGCAAAAAAACAGAGATGTAACGCACAAGGCCCAAGAACTGCCGAACCTCTTTTGCTGACTTTGGCATTGGCCAAGCCAAAATACAATCCATCTTTTTACTGTCTGGCTCAATGCACTCCGCCGAGATATGATGCCCCAAAAAGTCGATATTTGTACGATACAGATGAGACTTCTTCAAGTTCACAAAATAAATGTGCTTTTCTCAGAGCTGTCATAATTTTCCGAACATGTTCATGATGCTCTTCTATTGTGTCTGACTGTCAGGTCCTGCTGACCTTGGGGGCTTCTTCCAAAGCAAGGCCTTACGGTAGCAGACTGGATATAGCTAGATACACTTAACCTAATGCGACGTGACGAAGTCCTGGACGCGGTAAGGAGGGTGCTCCGGGATGTTAAGGGCTTTTGGGTTTGGGGATGGTGGTCCGGGACGTATGGGGATGCTCCAGGACGAACAAAGTGAGTTCCGGAGCACGAGAGGCGTTATCAGAGAGAGCGACGATAGAACAAAGGGTGGATTTATGGGACAAGTTGCTAGAATGGGAAGGATGCGAGATTAACTGAGGCCGGAGTGGTCCGGGACGCGAACCGAGAGAGTGAGGTGAAAGGACGAGACGAAACTGTGAAGGCAAAGTGAAACCGGAGAAACGAGACAAGACTGTTGAGTTGAAGTGGAACCGGGAAACAAGGCAAAACTATTGAGTCGAGGGGAAACCGGAGAAACGAGATGATACTGTTGAGTTGAAGTGGAACCGGGAAACGAGGCAAAACTATTGAGTCGAGAGGAAACCGGAGATAAGAGGGATTGAATGAGTCGAGATCGGAACGGAAGGTGTAGATGAGATGAGATTCGGGAGATTCAGATAACCGGGAGTTGACGAGACAGATTCGAGAATAGACGAGACGATTTGGAAGACAAGAATGAGTCGAGGAGACAGTCGTGAAAATAAAGAGAGAACAAGTCAGGAAATCAAGCAGTCATTCAGGCAAAACACAGTCCAAGGTTGTCAATATCAATACTAC